GATCTGTATGTCTCGAGAGATCCGAGCATCTTACGGAATATAGGAATATTCTATAAGATGTTCTATTTTAGAGGAAAGAGTTTTTGAAATATTTTCGGGAAGAGAAAGAGTTGAATTTAAAAGAACGGGACCAACGGGATTAATGGGACCGGACTTCGGTGGTGGTGTTTGGCTATTCATGGTTTAAAGATTTCTCTTACTCACTTTCCACTCATAATTCCTACTATCATACCCCTTCGAAAATGGTTAAGCTCGATAATTTATCAAGAATTTTATTCAAGTATCAAAATAAATTTTTAATAATTATTTATTTTAAGATATAATAATTAAAATTAATTATTATTTTAAATTAACTAAAATAAATAATGATAATAATTTTTTATTTTTATTTTGAGATTAAATAGATATATTTTATTATAATTTATATACTAAACCATTATATCTTTAAAAAATATTATTAAAATTTAAATTTTTAAGATATTTTAATTTTGATTATTTATTTATTTATTTTTAATTAATTAATTTTGTATGATATATCGATTTCCGTTGACCAATATAAGATACTAAAATTTTTTATCATTTTAAAATATACTATCCTAAATCATTAATTTTTTTTACTAAGCTTATTGTAGCACAATTATTTGGATTGAACGAATTTTTTCTGGATTTGTCTCCGGTACATGATTCCTGTACGTCTTATTTATATAAAAAATAATAGTATTTTAGATTCATTTTTGGATTTAATTTTTTTAAATAGTAAAACTATATTTCAGATTTTATAATCTGAAAGTTAATATATATATATATATATATATATATATATATATATATATATATATATATAATCCATTTATGCAATTGTTTTTCAATTTTTATAATATGAAATACAGAATATATTTTTGGATAACTCGATTGCATAAAATTAATAAAGGTAATTGTGCTTTTAAACAAGGGGAAAGATTTTTTGAAAATCCATTTTTACAAACATCTGTTAACAATTTTAAAATATTATTTTTTATTAATTAATAAAAAAATAGATAAATAATAATATAAAAATCTAAAAATTGATTATTGAATGAATATTATCAAAAGTATCATCATAATACGAGGGGTGCAGGAAAAAAAATAATAAAGGAAGAACGAGCTTTTGTCTTCCTAAATTTATATACATCTTAAAAGAATAAATAAATCTAATAAGAATAAATTTTCTCCATTATATGGATTTCTAGCCCATTATGTCAAGTTGGGCTGGTCTTTTTATGTCTAAAATAAATAAAAAAACTGCATGTACAGTATCCCACAGTTGTCTTAGATTAATATAACTCGATGGAAACCTAAAGTTAAAAAAAGTCTGAAAATAAAAAATCATTTCCGAGTTTAGGATATGTTTGCATCTTTAAAAAAATAAAATAAAAATAAACTTCGTAAACTAAAATTGACTATTGTACGAGTTGAATATAAAAATTCAAAGAAATTATATAAAAGAGCTTTTGGAAATTAAGTTATAGAAAAATTCATTTATTTTTTCTTTCTTAAAAAATGTTCGTAATAAAATTGTTTAGAAAAAAAAAAAACTAACTAACCTTACCGATGAGTTGTTCATATAGAATCATTTATGCTGTGTTTGTTTGAACTGATTTGCGACGAAATACTGTTCACGAAGACAGAAACACGAGATTCACCCACATTTGGTTGAACAGATTTGCGAAGAAATGCAGGCGAGGAAAAGGGGGAGAGGGGAGAGAGACTTTCTTCGCTAATATGCGAAGAAAAGAGACGAAAGTCTGCTGGAGATAATGAAAAGTCCAACTTACCCTCTTCCATATGATAGCGGTTAAATCTTAACCGCTATTATAATAGCACTTGTAATAGCGGTTAAAACTTAACCGCTATTATATATCACTTCTAATAGCGGTTAAACCATAACCGCTATTACATATCACTTCTAATAGCGGTTAAATCTTAACCGCTATTATATATCACTTTAGATAGCGGTTACAGAGGAACCGCTATTATATCCTCCAATTATGATCGATCATTTCTTAAATCTAATCGATCAGAATCATATTTCGCTTGAGCGAGATATAGTCGCTCAAGCGAAACACAACCAGAGACTGAAGAAAGTAAAATATGGTTGTATATGATAGCGGTTCTACTGGAACCGCTATCTAATATACACTTTAGATAGCGGTTACAGAGGAACCGCTATTATATCCTCCAATTATGATCGATCATTTCTTAAATCTAATCGATCAGGATCATATTTCGCTCGAGCGAGATATAATCGCTCGAGCGAAACACAACCAGAGACGATCAGGATCATATTTCGCTCGAGCGAGATATAGTCGCTCGAGCGAAACACAACCAGAGACTGAAGAAAGTAAAATATGGTTGTATATGATAGCGGTTCCACTAGAACCGCTATCTAATATACACTTTAGATAGCGGTTACAGAGGAACCGCTATTATATCCTCCAATTATGATCGATCATTTCTTAAATCCAATCGATCAGGATCATATTTCGCTCGAGCGAGATATAGTCGCTCGAGCGAAAACAACCTGAAGAAAGTAAAATGTTAGGGAAACAAAATTTTAAAATAATTTTAAAATATTATTTCTATATTATTCATTTTTTATTTTCCTTCCTTCTTCATTTTATTTTGCTATTTGATTATTCAATTTTCTGGTTTTATTTTTATTTGACCTATTCACTCTTCCTCTATTCTTAATGTTTGATCTTTCAATTTTTTCCTATATTTAATATTCAATTTTCTTATCTTCTTTTGCCTAAAATACTCGATCTTAAAAGAAAAAAAAACATTATCTTTAATATTTTAATCTTTTTTATCTCCTATCTTTAATACTCGATTTTCTCTATTTTAATGTTTTATAAATCTTATTTATGTTTGATTCAATTTAACTATAAAATTTAAATCTAATTAGAACAAAAATACCAGGAAGGATATAAATATAGGACCAACTTACTACTGAATATTGAAAAAAAAGAGAGACTAACTTCACTATTTTATCTAATTTCTATCGCTGTGTTATTATTTCTTCATTAAACTCGTTTACTTTTTGAACAATTTTCAAAAACTTATAATTTTTTTTTAAATCTTATAAATCCAAAAAAATTAAAATCCTTCTAAATTATTGTAATCTCATTAAGATTGAAACTATAAAATCTCAGCAATATATTTTATAGAAGTTGTAAAATTTGTATACGATATTTTAAAATTCATTAAGTTTTTTTAATGTAAAAAATAGTATTTTAAAGTCCAAGTGCAACACACACTTATATAAAATTGCAACTTGAAAAGAGAAACCGACTTCACAGGATAGAAGATGAGGACACCTCATCCAAGAGGGTTTATTTTTCATAGAACGGTCGATAACCTATTATACAATATAATATTATTTTAAATATTTTAATCATTAATATATTATATTATATTATATAATACAGGTTATATACAAACAACCTAATACACCAATTTTAAAAGAATACATGTTCTTTAAACAAAATTGTATAGATATAAGTAAAAAAAATATTTAACAAATTTATATAAACTAAAATTTCAATTAACTCATTTTTTTCATATTATTTTAAATTTTTAAGTATGGATATGAATTTTAATAAAATAATATAAATTATGTATATTTTGTTTTATGAAAATAAAAATTTTAAATTTAAATAATATCCTTAATGACTATATATTATAAATAAAACATTAAAATATCAAAATGTTAAATAATTTTTAATTAACTTTATCAAAAATTAGGGAAACAAAATTTATCCAAAAGAGTTCAAAATGTATAAGAGTATTCTCAATTTTGAGTTTAATTATATTATTAATTTTTAAAGTAGAAAATTATATTGTAATTATTTTATCTCAAGTTAATGTGATGAGACGATCATCAACATTTCAACATTCGAGTCAGATATATGGGACATCTACGTCTCTCCAAGTTGTTCATGTTCTTGAGTGGAAGTGATTGAATGATCTGAACTGGAGGACTTGACTGCAAAAGATGAATAACATTATAATTATTTGTTTGAAGAGCATTAGTGTGCATAGGTTTATAATTTTAGTAATGTTTCATTTAATTATTATTCTATTTTCACTTGTATTTTATATTTGTTTTAAATAATAATGTACAATTATATTATTAGTTTTCATAATTATTTGTTATTATCAGTCAATATTAATTATTATTTTATATTTTATAATTATTTAATTATTAGTCAAATAATTTATTTAATATGTCAACATTATTTGAATATGGATATGCAATGTACATAATTTTGTAATTGTTTATTTATATAATTTTTAATAACTATCTAAAAAAAGTTAATTTTTTAAATTTGTTTCCAATTACAAACACTTTTTATTTTGTTTTTCTTTTAAATATATAATCAATGTTAAAATATGGATAATTAATTAAAAATTTATATTTATAATCATTTGAACCTTATTTTATACTAAGGGTAAAATAGTAATTTTCTTAAATAATCAACATAAAATTTTAACTTTTATATCTCATATCAATCAAATCATTCACAATTTTCCATAAACATTCCTTTCACTTTTTAATCATCTCCATTTCTCTTCAAATCCCTCCTTTTCCACTCTCTCATTTCCACTCTCTCAAATCACTCCAACCAAACAAGGGGTTAGTCATGTCGCCTAGAATCCTTCACATTTATATTTAACAAGATGAATTAGGTTAAATTATTTACAAAGCTTTTTTAGTTATAATGTTTTCAAACACATTAACAATTTCCATTAATCGAAAACATGATCACTAAACTCAGCTATTATATCATTTGCATTAAAAAAAACACGGATGAAAATAGTTCTATGGCCAATTTGTGATTTTTAATAAATTTTAATTAATAATAAATTATGTTAAAAGAAGATGCACATGGGAAATTGTTGCAATAGAATGGTTAAAAGATTGAGTCCAACCCATTCAACATACATGTTAATTGGCTATTCTACTTGATCAAGTTGAAGCTAAAATCCCATAGCTTCTTGGCCAAATCAAGGTCCCTTGCTTTTGAGTTTGTAGTGGAAACATTACAATCTTCAAAATAATGGCCACTGATTTCCCTCACTTGTGGATGCAATGCTACATAGCATGTTGTTGCAGCTCCCTACAGCCAAAATGGAAGCTTAAGACAATCACATGTTAAGGGTTGTTACTTCAACTATTTTTAACCTATTTTCAAGAAAAGTGGTTTTCTTTTTTAATTAAAAGTTGTTAAATAAAATGTGTTTTTAATTTTATAAAGCAAAAACAGTAATTAAAAAAATGTTTTATTTCTTCTTTTTTTTGTCCTAAGTATTGCTTTGTCGAATGAGGGAAAAAAAAGTAATATGAACTTTACATTATAAAAGTTCAATACAATATTAATGCCTAATTTATCGATTATATATTTTCTTCACCTAATTTTTAATTTTTTTAATATTTATGATGAAACTAAAGATATAGAACAAAGGAAAGGTTAAATGGAAGAAAACATAATGAACGAGTATGATAAAAAAAAAAAAAACAAATAATGAAAACGTGAATATTTTATATTTCTTAATTCCTATTTCCTATACTACATACTTAAAAAAAACGAAGTAATAATAATTTTCTTAATAAGTCAAGTCAAATCGATAGTGTTTAAGTTTGAGTTGTAAAAAATAACAAGTTTAAGCATGATTAATTTATTTTAATGAGTGAAGTTTAAAGTTTGAGTTTGACTTGATTAAAAATTTGATGTTTGAGCTTGACTCGGCTTGCTTATGACTTAGTTATGTTATTTTCTTTATATTGAATTTTTTTCATAAATAAAATTTTGTTTTATAATTTAGGATTTATCTATTATAATGAAGTGTACCTCTATACTTATAAAAATAGCTGTAAATTGGAGAAGAAATGTCATATGATGAAAATGGTAGATTTGTTTGAAGAAAATTTACACATCCATTTAAAATATAACTCCAGAGAGTTGAGATTATGTGCGTGTATACGATATGATAGTAAACAATTATATTTTTTAAGTAAATATAATAAATAATGTTACGTTTGAAAAGTTTGAGTTTGATTTATTTAAATAACTAAATGTTATCATAAATTCAAATTTGTTTATCTGAGTAAACAAGCATTCTTCTTCAACAATATATAGATCATATTATATTTGTTTAACTTGCCTGCTCGACATTTTTAAACACAAGTCTACCTAGCGTATTAATTAAACCTGCATAAAAAAAAAACCACCACTTAATTTTAGTAACTCTATCAATGGATTACTTACATAAAGAACTATTCCCTCCCTCTTATATTATTAGGGTAATATAAGAATATTGTTAATTACATATATTAATGTGAAAAAACTATTTTAAAAAACTTATTTATTAAATGAGTTAGAATATGTTTTATTTATTGTTATTTCATCAAAAAAACCTTATTTTTTCTTTTTTAAATCTCTAACAGGGACACTAAGGGACTTTTTCCTTTTTATGATCTCTAAACCTGTTTATACAGTCTCTAAACATATAGATTACGTGAAGTGGGAGAATACGAATCAATCTATTTCATAATTCCTTCAAATCCAACTAGTGATATGCTATCTTTATAATAGGGGTGATATTTAACAAGATTTTACGCCATATTCTTGAGTAATTATTAATGACTTTATGATCAATGAATGAACCGAGCACTCTAAAGATGCTAATGATAGATTAAAGGTCTAAAACTCCTCATCACACATATAATCATTTAACTCATTAATTATAAACCAACATTTTACAAGAGTGAGAATCTAGTATTCACACAACCCTTAGTCACAAGCTTAAGAGATTAATCAACTATATTTAGAATTTAGAGTCATTCCACCCATCAATTAGGATAAAAAAATTCGAAAGTATGGTCAATACAATTATAATCAAATCAGAAAATATAGTTGAATCATTTTATGAATTAATAATGTCCCATGCATTATTTTTTAGTTTTTTTCGGTAATACCCTGTATATGTACAGCATTTTGGGAAGCCAACCCAAACATATTTAACATAACCATTGTTTTTTCTCCCTTTTTTTTTTTGTGTGTGTGAAGAGCTATTGTTTTCTTTTAAAACATTATTCAAGTAACAAGTTTGATTTTAACACCTATATTGATGAATTGGGCTTATTTCTTTGTAAATCCACCGAAACATTCCTGAGAGAATATCATGGAAAATAAACAAAGAATACTTATTTAGTATGCCAAATCCAACCATTTACAAAAACCCTAGACAAAATCTAAATTCACAAGAACAGTGCAATGTGGTAGAGAGATTAGTTACCTGCCAGTACACTGGTGTGACGAAAAATATTGGTGACAACAGCTCCAGGATGAAGAGAATTAGCAGTAATATCTACCCCTTCGTCCTGATCAAGAAGATGCAATAACTAGTCATTTCACTATAACATATCAAAGACAAGTAAGGCGAAACCTGTTTTATTTTGAAGACTTTTTCTCTTTAAGATTGTTACAAAGGGAATTAAACTTGTTATTTATTTTAAAATTCTTTAATAGTTATAATTTATTTTTTGGCAACAAATTTCTTCACATCTTTGACTTTATATATAGAGGCCCTTTTTTCTTTCTGACACAAACTTTTTCTACCTTCCCTGATTCAAAGATCTGCCTTCCTGTTTTATTTTTGTGCTATGCAGTCTCATCATTGTCTCAAGTTCTTACTATATCCTGCTAGATTTGCGGAGATACCACGGAAAAGTTCTTAAACAGAATGTTCTTACACGTATCATTGCTAATTATTTTTATTTATTTCTATAATAATCCGAAAATTTTGATTACAGAAGCTGCACTGCACGAATGCTAGCTCGTCCCTGCAACAAATTATGATGCAACCACTTAAGCAAACCTTAGGATAACACCCTTCCTAAATACAACGGAGGTTACTACTATAGGCCTTGGTATTCATAATCACTCACAACAAAACTATAGAATCATTTTTACTAATAAATTATAGGAAACGTCACCAAAAACAGAGGAAGAAAATAATGAGATACTATTAGACTAATTAAGGGTCAAAATGTTCCAGACTAATTAGAAAAAAAAATATACATTTATATTGACCAATGTTTAAACATGCAATAAAAAATCTTAGGTCATATGTGATAATAGTACGAATAAATTAATCCAAGACGAATATATTATGGTATAATAATTGCCAGCATACCTTGAGACGTCTTGCAAGTTCATTGGCATGTAAAATGTTAGCCAGCTTTGATTGTCCGTATGCAAGCCAGTTATGGTAACTGCACATAAGGAAGCTATAAGACAAAGAATTATACAACAAAATACTTATAATTTGCACAGAATATGTTTGCATGCGTAGTTATAAATGCAACAAGAATATGCAGAAGTAAAAACCGATATAATTTAGCTAGACACACTACCTTTCAGCAAAAGGTTTTGTTTAGAGAGAGATCTTAGTCACATTAGGAGTAGTGGGCAACAACAAATCCATACATAGTAATGTGACACCTAATTCCGCATCACTGGACTTGTAAAAATAAATTTTACAAACTACTGGTTGAGAATCATATTTATCTTATCCATAGTGAACGAATCTTAGAGTTGAAATGCCAACGGTAATAAAATTGAAGTCTCCAGCATAATTGTTATTCTATGGATAAATACCTCGAAGAATAAGGCTTCGTAGTTTTTGCTGTCTGTCACCAAATCCCATTCCATAAATTAAAAGAATAAATTGTCAGCATATTATATCACACTACTTCTTACCTTGATGGATCATTAATTTTTTCAAAACAGATTCCTTCACGATACGGTAATTGATGAAGTATTGAGGAGATATTAACAATTCTTCCTTGTTTCTTACTTTCATGAGTTGTTTTCTTCATAGTATCCAACAACAGATTTGTTAATAGGAAATGACCTGAGGAATTGTGTTCAATAAAAACAAAGGTTATAAATTTATTTAAATAAGCATTTTCATAATAATATAAGAAAAAAATCTAAAATAAAATTGATTTAGGTATAAATGTATAAACATTAGCTTTTGTAGAAATTATATAATTTTGACAGAATAATTTTATCTTATAAAAAAAAATCATTTTTTCTCCCATAAGTTTAAAACATTATACACATCTTTTTAGCTTGTGCTTTTAAAAAGAACATTGGAAGAGTTATTTTATTTTTAAGTATTAAAGCTTAGACAAAACACAAGAAGGACAGTACACGTATATCGATTATCATCCATTTCCAAGTATGAATGTGTATGCTCTTACATGTCTAGCATATTCCCTTATAAATCAGAATGAGAAAAAACACATCATACAAAACTTCCATTATCAATAATGCTTCTGTCTTTTCATAAACATAAAAAACCATTGAGGTTGAATAACATTCTCTGTTTTCACTTTGTTTATTTTTTATTTTCCATTTGGCAGAGAGAAGAAATAATTAGAAGAAAAAGAAATAGGTGAAAAAAAAACGATAAGAAATAGAATAAAAATAGGCTATATATTTATATCCATTATTTCTAACTTTTGTATTTTCCCTCTTTCAAACCACCCTTCTTTCACTCTCTTCCTTCATCTTCTCTTATTTTTCTACTCTAACAAAACATCCTTAATTTTCATGTTATGGAAGATTAGATCGATTCCATACGTACCTATGTGATTCGTGGCAAATTGCAGTTCAATTTTGTCTTCAGACAGAGTGAAAGGGGTTGCAAAAATTCCTGCATTGTTTCTTAGAATTGCAATAAATAAACAACAATACATTACAACATTATTTCCACAAGAGAGTCTAATATCACATACATAAACACCCAAGAAATATGTACCTAACGAAAATTTTGGGAATGTAACTACACTTACATTAGAATGTTTAATGGAAGACCAGATGAAATGAACTCTGACGCAAAATTTCGAACAGATGCCATTGAACTAAGGTCTAACTCCATGTAATCAACTTTAGCAGCAGGAGTCTTCTCAAGTATTGCTTCTTTTATATCTTTTGCAGCAATCAAATTTCTCACCCCATAATTACATGGACACCACGCCTCAGCACCAATAGCACTGGTTGCCCCTGTTTGTTTTTATCGTTGCATCGTCCAACAAGCAACAACAGAAATGCACAAATAAGGTGAACAGAATAAGAAAAATGCAAATCTCATAGAATTTCCTATTTGATTTTAAATCACGAAATGCAATCACAAGTGAATTGCGACCACAATCTTGCTGTTGCAGTGGTTTCTACAACCGCAATGATCTGCAATTGAACCGCCATATGCAATCACAGTGGTCTCTTCAATGGTGACACAGGGATTTTAACAAATTAGAAAAGAAAAACAAAAGTGAGAAACCTGTGACAATAGCAGTGAGGGTAGTGCCATCGATCCCTTCAGTAACTTCCTCAGCAGTGGAAGAAGATGAAAATCCAGAACCTGTTTCTCTTCCAAACAGCCACCACATTGTTAATTTGTTCCACCAAAGCCAAAGAGTTATCCCAACAAATAAATAGACTGGATTCTCCTCTCTAGTAATCTATAGCATTTATGATCACACACACTTACCAATGAACATGATCCTCCTCTCCAGTAATGGCGGGAAAATCAACTACATTACTAATGTTTCAGTCATACATAACTATATGAATGGCTCATATGGTGTTCCATCCCCTCACATTTATGTTTCATCTGGATGATACGAAAATAAAAGAGAAAAATATTTATGATGAAAAATAGTAAAAATAAGGGAGAGTCAAGATTATTTTTTATTTATTATTATAATATTAATTTTATATGTTATTTATTTTCAAAAAAATTATTTCATTATATAACGGAGAATACGTCTCTATCTTTCTAGTTTTGCGTGTTTATGTCTTTACAGAAAGAAATCCGTGAAATAAATATATTTCTTCCGGTTTTAAATAATATCATTTAAAAAAAAACTTATTTCTACATATATTAGTTTATAAAATTTAAGATTATGGTTATTATGTTTTAACAAATTATATGTTTATTTTTGTAATTATATATTATAGAAAGAAGATAATAAATTATTGAAAATAATTTCAAATAAAAAATATTAATTAAAAAAATTGAAAAATTTATTAAAAATATTAAAATTAAAGTTTATTTTAAAAACATTTTAAAATAAATATATCTTTTTTATTTATTTTTAAAACGTAAAAGTCTAATGCATTAATAAAAATCGATACAATAGTTAGTTTTATTGATTTCTTTTAAAATATTAATAATGTATTGATTTTGTTTTCGTTTCCTAGTTAACTGGTTATGAATGACGTATAAATGTTAAATCACTGTCAATAAAATACTGTTTTCTAATTTTGATTTTTTATTAATGTTATTTATAAAATTAAAGCAGTTTCAAAGTCATTAAAAAGCTAAAAAGGTATTAAATAATAAAATATACGTTGTGAAGTAGAATTATAAGTCTCCTATAGACAAAATAGGACAATTTTAAAAGAGATAATACGTGGGTTAAAAATATAAACTATTTTTAATCTCCAATTAGATATATGAAAATTAATCTTAATAATTATAGTTGATATTTCAATAGGTTAAGAATATAAATTATATTTTATCTCAATTTGTAAGTAATTTAAGATTTATGAATCTATAATAAGTTTTTAATAAATATAAACCTACCGATACGAGAATATCATAATGCCACTTCGATGGATTAAAAATATAAATTACCTTTAATTTTGATTCGAATATGAAAATTTAAGAATATAAATTATGTTTTATGTCAATTTGTAAACAATTTGAGATTCAAAAATATACCGAAACATATATAAAAAGTTTTTAATAAAGATTTTTAAAAAATTAATAAAAACAGATAAAAAAAGTTTCTTAATAAAAAATATTTTAATTAAAAAATAAAATAATTTTGTTTTTAAATATAATAATACTCTTTTATATTCATATTTTTGTAATTATAGATCTTTTTATTTTTATTAACTATAAATATATATATATATATATATATATATATATATATATATATATATTATTGAATAGTTGTGATGGAGCGTTTGTAGTGACTTAAAATACAATTATATTTATGATATATTTAAAATTTTACTTTTTAAATTCTTTTTATTTTTCAGTGTATTTATTCCTTTGCATCTTTTTATTTTCAAACTTTTAATTTAAAAATAATAATTAAAAATGTATTAATACTCATGATACTTAATGAATATTACATTAATACACATTTTACTAATATATAAATATTTATTTATATAATTAAATATATATAAAAAAAACAATATTTTTTGTCATATAAGTTATATTTTTTAAATATTTAACAAATATGAACCGAACCTTCTCACAATAACACGGCAAAATTCCACTTTCAGAGCATGTGCATACAGTGATGACTGATGATTGGATACACAACATATCATAATTAAAACAAAATCATATCCACTTAATTTTTTCTTTCATATTTTATTTTTATAATTATTTTCCTACAAATAACTTAAAAATAAAAATTAATTTTTAAAAAATTATATTTTAAAATAATTTAAAATATACACATGAATTTATTTTAAATAATAATATAATTTATTGATTAAATAAAATATATTTTAAATAAAATAATTCTTTTAATATATTTTAAATTATTTAAACTAAGATAAATATTTTAAAAATTGTAAATAATGTATTTAATTAAGTAAATAATATATTTTTTATAATAAATATTATAAAATTTAATATTTTTAATAAATAATTAAATTTTAATTTTGTAGATATGTTTAAAATTATTTTAAAGTATAATTTTTTTATAAAATTTAATTATTTTTATTTTAAATTATTTGTGAGAAAAATTTAAAGAAAGAAAAAAATAAAGAAGAAAATCGGATAAGAGAAAATAATAATAGTTATTATTATTATTATTATTATTATTATTATTATTATTGGGATAAAAAAATAATTATTAAATTACAATAACTTATCTAATTTTAGATAGATGTTTATAAAATATCAATGAATGTTTCTATTATTATTATTATTATTATTATTATTATTATTATTATTATTATTATTATTATTATTATTATTATTATTATTATTATTAACATAAACAAGAGCTAAAGTACAAGTATGTTATTAATTTTTAAAACATTTTTCTTTTTTATTTTTTTTTCCATTCTATCTTTATTATTTAGATGTATTTCATGTATTTTTTTCCTGTTGTCATACATGTCGTCGTTTCTATTTATTTCTAAATTAATAATATCATAACTATTTTTTTAATTATATTTTATTTTCTCTTAATGATTATAAACAAAAAACTTCTTTTACACTTAATGATAAAAAATACAATAATATTATTTTAAAAGGCGATGAAAAAAATTATAAAAATTGTTTTTTTACATATACTAGTGAAAATATAAACGTATTTATAATTTTTTACGATTAATTTCTTTAAAAAAGATGTTATATAAATATTTCATATTTTTTTTATATGTTATTACACACTTTCTTATTTTATAATTATATTTTAGCAACAATTAAAAATTAACATCTTCAATAAAAACAACTCACATGAATTATTTCTTATCTTGAAAAATATAAAATAAATATTTATGATGTCTCATCATTTTTAAGCAACTCAATATTAAGTATACTCTATTATAAGTTTTCTTAATAAATTTTAAAAAACTTATTATCTCTTCTCATTACTTTGATTTTTTATTTTAAAAAATATAAAATAAAAATTTATGATATCTCATTATTTTTAAGCAACTCAATGTTTTATTATAAATTTTTTAATAAATTTTAAGAAACTTATTATCTCTTTTCATTTATTTTGATTTACTCTAAAACATTTCCGAAGGGAATTGTTGACTGGAATTAATTAAGAATACAAATAAATATTTTATTATAAATTCCACATTTGAGTTATATGATGAAGTAATTAAAAAAAATTAAACATTTATCATGCTACATAGATTCCTCCAATAGAAAATTAGTTCAAACAACTCATATTTTATTTAAGCATTTCAATAAACAATTCCTCTTAAATATGTTATAAATCAACTCTTCTCAACAACTATATTTCTATTTATTGATATTGATTTTTTTAACATTTTTTAATGTGGATATTAGTCATTATCTTATAATACGTGTCTTTCATATAAGAACTCTTCAACATATTTCTTTTTGCACTTATTTTTTTTCATATAAGATAATTTGAAATTAAGAGTTACTCAAAGCTCATATATTATGAAATTTTAATATGATTTTATGAAATACTAATTTTTTTCAATTTTTGGTATTTATGTTTAGAAAAAGTTATCAACGACATAAATAGGGTAGTCCTTGTTTTTTAAATTCAACCAAGTATATCTAACTTTTAACTTTTCTAATAACATCTTTATCAATCTCATCTTCTTTCGATTACTCAAATTTTGCTTAAAAAGATTTTTGGAAGTTCCTTCAATTATAATTATGGAATACAATTGTCATACTACAACGTGTCAATTGGATTAACAATTCATAGTGATGATAACATTGTTCCTTGTCCAACATTTTCTTCAATTAAGAAGAAAATGTTAATTTTTAGATTTATTTAGATGCAATAACATTCTTATGTTATTACAAATACATGCATGAGTGTTACTTTCACAAAAACATCTTGCAAACCTTGATAAGCTTGAACGCGAATGTAAATTCCAATGGACATTTAACAATACTCAAAATTTTTTAAATAATATTACAATGATTAAATTTCAATTGCCAACTCCAACTACGTGCTTCCATTATCATTCATAATTATTTTATCACAAATAATATTATATGTGTTAATATAATTAAAGTATTATTTGTGCATGTTAATGCTTGCTCAAAATATATTTAGATTCTTCACCTAAAAGTAGACACTTTATAAAACATATAAAAAGTCACAATTCACTTAGTGTTCATATGGATAAAAATATTGTGGCAACCGAATGTAATATATTTAGTTGACATGCTCAAGGTGCAACATACCACAATATAGGACGATTTTTCCCAAATGCAGGTCTAGGCTATGTATTTTTGTAATTTTACATTTATGATACATGAATTATGTAATAGGATCTTGAAAATCCCTCAAACATCAAATATTGCAACTTGTGGATGAGTATAATTCTTTTGTGCATGTATGTAGACAACTTGCTCAACAACAAAACATTCATGAATGTACTTTACTTATTAAAGAGTGTCTTGTCATTGAACAATAATATAATGAAACATTTTAGTTCTTAGAAGAAATATATCATGTTAATGATTCATATCTATATTACAAAACACATTTTAATGAATTAACATATTTTGACAACCATATGGATGATTCTTTATAAAGGGATGATTCCTTATATTAAAATATGTTTGTCATATATAAATGTGTGTGCAATAGCATAAAAAATATTAAATATTTATATAAAAAATATTAAAAATTTTGGTTATATGAAAAATATAAACATATAAACGTGTTTCTATTAATATATAATTTATTTACATTATTTTTAAATTTAATAATTAAAATAAATAATATTTTATATTATT